TTATGTCCATTTGGTTGCAGGGTCACAGAGGACGAATATCATTTTACTATGGTTTGTCCAAAATATGAAGCACTTAGACAAAAATTCTTACCAAAATATTATTTTTCACCACCAACCAAGATGAAATTCATTGCATTGCTACAGAGTACTAACTCGTATATTTTACTAAGTTTGGGTAAATATTTGTTTAAGAGTTTTCATTACAGAGAAACTATGTATGATTTGAAGTATATGTATCTTGTAATTTTAAAGCGACCGTGTGTAATTTAAGTTTTGAAATGTAACAGTACTTTAGGCCGGTGGCCATATAGTGTGGAATAAAGAAATAATAATACTCTGCAAACATCAAGTACAATAACGCGGTAAAACTCCAAACCTCCAATAACTAGATACTTAAACTCCAATACAATTCAACGAGATCTCCGATCTGAACTCAGTGCTGAACAACTCCCCTATATATACCCACACTGTCTATAAATAGACCATTACATCAGCATACATAATGAGTCTGGAATTTACTATAAATTTCTAGAATGTTCCATTACCTTCTATTGTCTCCTACAGTGTTCTATTACCAATTCAACCAGTTCCCCCCCCCCCAAAAAATCTAGAATATTCCACCCAGACACAGTACGGTTCTAGAACATTCTCAGTGACACGGAAGTGGTAAATAAGTCGTATGCGACAATTATAAAAATGTAAAATGCAATGAGGAATTTGCTTTATCTGTAAAGTGTAAAAACCTATTTTTTTTACTGTATATTGAACTTTAATATTATTTCCTGTAAAAACGCAAAATGTCTTTTTATTTCCTGTAACCTGTACCAACTATCCCCCTTGCCCATCTAAGAAAGTGTGTACAAGTCCTCGTCAACTCCAGACCTTGCATATTGACTAAAGCTCTAGCAACTGTAACACTGAATTCCGCATAATTATGAGTGAAGGTGGTCACGTGACACATTATTCTGGCCGTTGGTTTATTTCTGTAAACCTTCTGTTCTTATGCAGTCTGTAAACCGGCCACACTTGTATTCATATGCAGAATGTAATTTGTACTGTTGTATTCATATTGCTTAGTTTAATTGCACCAACATTGTCTTAGCTACATAACTTTAACAAATTTGCACTTGGAGTGTTGTAGCGAATTTTTAATAAAGAATTTATAAATGAGATGCACCTTTTTAACCTTACTTATTAAACATCATTTATTTTAAAGACATTAAGAAGATAGTATTTTGGTCATGACGTGTTAAATTAATTCGAAAAAAAATTAAGAAAATAATGAAAGATATGTTAGCTTCAAGTTGTACACTACCTTTTATCCGAGTTTGTGTTTCCATGTACAGAAAAACGGGGTCAGAAAAGTTTACAACAATTAATAAAAAATTGACATTCTGATGTTTTCCGCTTTTGGGTATGTTCATATTCTATTGTGTTTAAACAAAAATATTTGCAGACAACATTCAAAAGATAACACAATATGATAGATGTTTGAAAATGTCAAATCCGACAAAGGGTGTTGAAGCTAAGTTAAATTACTAGATTTCACCGTAGACCCTGGTTTCCAGTAATTTAAAAAGTCCTGTATAGTAAACTGCGTGGAGACATTTCTCCTATAGATTGGTATTTGTTTATATCCACTAATAATGCCCCACCATCATGGAACTACGTGGTTCTACTGAATGAATAGTGTTCACTTTTTTTAAAGCAAAAGTGCATCTCACCTTTCTCACTATATGATAGTCGGACCCTGGAGTGTCGACGGTATTGGACCTACAGAGGTTTAGTGACCTAAGGGTTGCTGTGAAATAAAGACATCCTGCATAATATACTACTAGTATTAGAGATCGAATATTATAACAATGAATAATGAATGAACTGAGTGCGTGTACAATTCAGATAGAAAGTCAGTTAGAATAACCACATCTCTACGATTCTGTTAATGGCGCTTCGCAAAATATTTTGGTAGTTATTTTGTTGTTGTTTTATCTGGAATATTTTTTTTTGTTCGCGAAATTCCGCCTGATGACAAATTAGAAAGGATTCCACGTAAGTTATTTATTTAGGGTTGTCACATTTATTCATTATTTAGTACTCCTTTTGTTCAAATAAATGAACAACCGGAAAACACAACAGGGAATGTCAAATTATGATGCACTCAACAATACGCATAGACAGGCCCCTGGATTCACAAATGGTTTATTATTTTAATTAATTATGAATGCATGCCGTTGAGTCGCTAAGATGGATGACTTTTAACATGAAAACGCAGACCTATTTCTTTATCCCCAGACGGAACCTGGTAAACAAGTCTCTGAGTCGACTTATGTGTACGTGATTTGAGGTTGAGAGGCCGTTAATTGCCTGTACAATTTAATTTTCTTCTAACTTTCTAGAGTTTCAAGTGTATTTGAGCGAGGTTATTATTTCTTGACAACTTTGCCAATTAAAACACAAAATAATGTAGCAGAAACCAGAAAATTCTGAAGTTTTCGAAAGAATTGTTGTTGGGTCAAAAATGTGAGATATAATCAATGATGCCATTGGCCGGCGATTGCTCAATCATATATTTACCGGGATGCGCACGAGAAAATCAATGATAAACGATACAGGTATTAGAAAGTGTATACATCTAATTCCCGGGGTACAACTAAAGGGTACTACATGGATAACATGTACATCTCCGCCCTGTTGTTCATTGGGGGTGGGGGTGGGGGGCTTGCTCAGCCCAATCAAATGTATACATTTGTGTGAAATTATTGTTTCCAGAAAACTTTGCTAATTAATGACATGAAATATAGAGCACACAATGTGAACCCTATTGTGCAGAAATGTGTCACATGCTATGGTCATTGACCGACCGTTGCGCAATCAAGTACTAGTACTAGTATATAGAGGCCGTGCAACCGGACAATGATACATATGAAAACGTATATGAAATATGCATATGAAAATAGTTTTATTGTGTCTTATTCGCGCTAAAATATTTTTTACCAGTGATAAAAAGTGATAAAAGTACAACGTCTTCAAAGTTCAAAAAATGCTAGACCTTTCTCTGGTATTAAAGAAAGAGTCGTAAACCGGGGTCGTTGAGGACAAATCCTACCGGAGCCAATGGCAACCTCGTGACGTCAGAAATCATCGTAGTTTCAATCCCTCCCACAACGTTACTGATCGGCGTTTTTGAATGCCTAGACGTGCGAGTAAACGTAAGTATATGTCACAATGAACACCAAAACACCCCACTCTATAGACAGATTGTAATGATTTGAAATAAACGTAAAAAAAACTAAAAACCCACGACCTAAATGCGCTCTGTTAGCTAGCCCAAGGTGAAATTATAAAGTTTATAATGTGTTATCAATGTTAATCATGTAAACAAAATTATTGAATAACAAAATTATTGAATACTGGTTGATGAATAATAATAGAAATAATTCCTTAAAAGTTTCATTAAAATTATAAGATCAACAGTGGTTCAATAATACTTAAACAGAGGTTGACGGGGGTCTTATATACTGCATTAATCAGCCAGGGTCTGAATTGGGGAGCTTGAAACCGCAACAAATTTGCATATTTTAATGGTGTAGGTTCGGCAAAATACGCTCACTTTATTTTTTTCCGCTCCGTTCCTCAGACTTGTTCTGAGTCTACATCACCAATGTGACCCTAAATATATACGTACTAGTACTTTGGGAGTCCATCTACTACTAGAGAGAATTCCAAACAGTATTTTTGTGTGACAATGAGCACAGCGACAAAAGAAAAAAGAAGGTACGTCTAAGTTAAGTTACATGGCCGGTCACATATATCGGCCAATATTTGAACAAACCCACCCGATGGGGTGAACTATTATTGTTGATGAAATTACGACAAAATCCTCAAATGTGTTTGTTTGCACCAGTAAATATTTACTGAACATCAACGCACGTGATCATGCTGATATATTAATGTTCCATTCTCCAAACGAGTCGAATGTATCCACACATGTCGCGTTTCAGTCGACATCGTCGACGTGTTTTTGTTTCGTTCGCATGGTGTCTGCGTAAATACCGATGTGTCCTGAATAAATGTCTCTGTGGAATGAAAAACAAAGAGTATCGACTGAACGTGGACCATAGGGTGGCTAGTGAAATCATTTTACTTGTTCCATGTTATCTAGAATTTGGTCTTTTCACGAATTTCAATAAGTAGACCAACGTTTTGCGGACTTGCTGACCTACCCTGTCCTCTACACCCGCCGAATAATTAGTTAGTTTGAAACACGTGTTTTTACGGCGACTTGCTATTATTCTATCGATTTGTAAAACTGTAGTATGATTAAAATTGTCGTTCAGAATATTTTAATACCACAACTCAAATGAAAACTTGCGATCTAAACGTTATAACATTAGTTCTAGTGTGACACTCGTGTGACGGAAATACACGTGCGGTCACATGACGTATGCTACCCGGCAATGTTGCTCTACGTCATGTGTTTGTTGTTACCGGAATACACCAGAACTGTCATGCTGAAGTATGTAAACACTTGTAAACTTCGTTTTAGTTTGGTCCTACTACTACTACTACTACTAATAATAATAATAATAATAATAATACACTCTAATACGCTGGCTAACCCGAACCTAGCTCCAGGTCACAACCCTAACCCTAATTTCCGCTTCGCCAGCCTGTAACCTTGAGTAATTGCAAATGCTGACACTACTATACATCCTGATTCTAACACCAAAAATGGCTACTACAAAACACTACGCTGTGTTGTGCTTGATATAGGTCCCATAGCGCCTCATACAGCGCGTATAAATGCATTGTTTGTGTAAAATGTGAACACTCGCTCTGCAGTGACCACCACGTTTTAATACAGGAAACGGTGTATTGCTCTAAAAATGGTGTGTAGACGTGCTGAATTAATCTATGAATCGATCATCATCTGAAACTATGACAATCATCATGTGGATGATACAGCATGAAATATGAACATAGCAAATTGTTATATACGTGTCAATAATCTCAAACTGAATTTTCAGGTATGATTATGCTATGGAGCTGTATAACAAAAAATTGTAAAATTAAATCATGTGCCTGATAGATTTATTTATTTTCCCAATAGTCCAGGACTGTACTTGCTTTTGTAGTAGCCTATTTACTTACAGAGGTATTCCTATGGTCAGAAGAAGTGATATTACAATGATTCAGTATACATCATATGTAATTTTTAGTTTATACCTGTATGTGCTTTAAATAGAGCAAATACTGTATGTTGCTAATTTAAAATAAATTATATTCTGTCAATGAAAGGCACTTCAGCTAAATAATAAATTCTGTTAATTTGTGCTTTGAGTCAAATTTGCTAAAATGGAATTTACAGTAGCTATTTGAATGTGTTTACAGTATGGTACATTATTTTTGTATCAATCCAAAACAAATTTTTTGAATAATTATACTTCAAAATTGCACATGTGAAGGAATATAAAATAAGTACATATATATAATAAATTTGTTTGGAATATTTTGTTTAATTAATACATTCTTGAATCTCAAATTATTCTCTCCTACCATACTTTCAGTTGATTGTCTTCAAGTATCTTTATACTTATTTATAGGCTAGGCTTTTGTGAAGAACCGTGGACAGGAAGTAATCCGTGTCTGCATGCTTTGGATTTGTCTTGTTTTTCCTTTGAAATTATCATTTCAAAAGTTTATTTTGATGCATACCTAATATGAGAATGGAATGGACCTTTAAACCATGCAATGTCAAGGTTATAGAAGGTTAAAATTGCAGCAATGTTCATGTCATATACTCGCATAACATCTTATATTTAAATATCTTATGACATGCATGTTTGGCAGAGGAAAGTGTTTGTTGAGAATTTACTCCAATGCTGACTTTTCCTGTTTCTAATTGTTTTTTTTTATAACAAGTTCATAGAAAAGGAACTTGATTGATGCTGTGTATACTTGTATTTAGCAATAATCATGGTTGATATCATAGCATGATGGAATTGACTGGTACAGATTTAGATCAATGTCTTCTTTAGAAATAGACATTTATAGGTTTATTTGTTTTGATAAGATGTTGTTGTCCATTTATGTCATTCAATATCAGCACAACTGTTCCAGTTTATAGCTGTTGTAGTTAGTGAATTAAAATTATCTGTGTAACAAGTTTTGCAGGTAAACGTTTAATTAGTAATATTGCGAAATGCTTTAGGTATGAGTCACTATTGAAAATGTGGGTCTTCACCAGTTATTGGCGGCTGTTGCTATGTGAACTGAAGTCTGAGTTTACATTCGAACATACCGCAATATCACATGCATGTTGAAAGTGCAAATGAACTTTTATGCCGGTGTAGTATCGGTTTAAATGATTTTCCCATGTGAGTTTTCATGCCGGTATCAAAATGGCGGAATTTGCACCTGCGTAGCTTGTCTGGCCAAAGTCCATGGTTAATAAATTGAAATGTTGTGATCTTCATGCCCCTATAACAAAAACTTCTATACAGTATATACAGTGGTGAATTAATCACACGGTCCAGGTAGTCGTGGAAACAAATGGGAATGGTTGCTGCACCTCAACACTGGCTTATCTTAGTATAAAAATTCACTGCATGTTATTTTAAACAAAATGTGACCCTAACTCCCTTTGTTGGCGGTGGGAGGGCTTCATATTTCTTCTTTTATTTCTTAGAATTGCGCATGAGCTGTCATACTAAAACCATGGCCCTTCCTCCCCATCCCACATCAAGAACTGTTGTACGGTACCAATATGGACTACTACTAATTTTTGGCACTCATGGGGACTACAGCGGTTGGGTTCAAACCTTGTAATGTTATGCATGAAAGAACATTGATTGACATTCTCAGGCTGTGACCTTTGTTCTGACAAGGTCAAGAATTTAAATTATGTCTTATCCTGTTTTAGCAAGACCTTGCCATTGCTACAGACTTAGTCTAGTATTTGACTTGCATTCGTGTCTTTATTATTTGTTATGACCACAAAAAATATTTGTAACCAATTGTCCAGATTCTCTTTTACGAAGTTATTGTGTAAGTTGTCTGGTTGAATCTTGGCAGTCGGCCAGTACACCGCTGAATAACTGACCTTTACTTGTCCTATCTACAAATGTCTGAAGACTTTAAGGTTAGGGGATTTTCTTGGTGGTCAACTCAACTGAATTGGTTGCTTACATGACCAGTGTGTGTTTGGGAGTAGTCAAAGCAAATGAAATATTCTAAACATTTTTCTACTCTACTGGTTGTGTGTGTTTAGCCTCCTGCCTGGACCATGTCTTAAAACCGACTATAGTACGGTGTGTTGTTTGTGTGTGTTCACCTGTTTCTTGTACATACAGGTGTTTTTTTATGCTGCAACCAATGATAAAATTTCATTATAAGTGACGGTTTTCCGTTGTCACATAAGTTCAGAAAACATAAATTTTATTTTGGTGGGGAAGGTTTTTTTAGCTCATTTCATTTGCTTTTTTTGCATTTGTCGCTATTATAAAACCTTCAAAAAAAATACACAGCAACATGCAACGTCAACAAATATTCTACAGTATGGAGTATCAATTATTGCATCTTTAAACTTGAATGTGTTTTGACTGTGCGTACAAAATGTATATGCGTAATGTCTAATAATTTCAACACGACTAATGTGAATAATATTCCAAACAAAAACACATATTCAAGTTTATTATTACTAATGGTACAAATGTATGGTTAGCATGCATAACAAGCCCAACATTGTCAGCTATTTTAAAAATATAATTATAATAAATATAAAAAAATAAGATTATTGTCTTTTACAATTAACAAGTATATCGTCTTGCGTTTAGTTTCACAATCTCTGTGAAGCTGATGTTATTAAAGAAATTCTACGTATAATTTTTAATTTCCATTCTGGTATAGTTCATGACATAATGATTCTCATCATTGCTTATGTTTCACAATTTTCACAGAATGTGATCAAGAGAACGAAATATACTTATGTAAATATATAGTCTGTTAGAAATCCAGTACATTTTGTTGTTGAAACCAGGTTAATATGCAGTTAGAGGTGGCGTTCTGATATAATACCACCATTTGCAATATATTACTGGAGAATAATTATAATATTACAATTTTTCAAATCTACAAACCATGCTGAAATTTAACCATTTCACTATGCGGGTCCCAACCTACCTGTAATTTCTCCTATGGAACTTGTGTTGCTACATGGCAAGTTTGATATGAATAGTATTA